AGACTGTACTGCAGCAACATCTCAGGTAGAAAAAAGCAAGAAAAATGAAAATTATGAAGCACTAAACAACTGTTTCAGAGCTACTTAGGACTTTCAGCCATTTTCCAGGGCATACAAAAGTAAAAGTATTTAATCTTATTTCAAGAACTGTTGCATTAATTTCTCATTCCAAGGGAGACATTTCTTGTCAAAGATGTCCCAACTTGTTTTAAGGCACTCAAAATGTGATCAAATGAAGACACATTTTGTAATTTTTTTTCAATTTTTGACTAGAATCCTAGACCTGACTAGAATGCAGCCCCTGATCCTTTAGTGATACAGCTTAAACTTTTCTTGTGTTAAACTATAGTCTCTGAAGCAAAGCAATTCATTGTAGCCACCGATCAAGAGAAAGATAAATATTTAGACCGGGATAAAATGTGGTGATTTATGGAGGGATGGTTTCCGAGTCAAGTGATGTCTTTGAGGATGGTAGTTAGAGCCGGCTGATTCATGAAGACGGATAATGGCCAAGGAGAGGTAAAATCCTGAACGGCAGAAGGAGAAATGAAGAAAAGTGTGCCCAGGAGACGCACAGACAATGGTGAGGGGACCGAGGTGACGATGAAGCAGCATTGCACTGTCATAATACTGTCTTTAGTTTTAGATTGAAGTCGGCTTTGGATCTTTTTTCAAAATCTTACACCAAGTAATGGCCTCTCTGGGGAAAAGGTACTTCTTATTACTGAGATATTAGTAGAAAGGAGTAACGGAAGGGAATTACATGAGTGTGCTGTGTGTTTTTGCTGGTGATTTCAAGCTATTGATTATGGTAAAAAGTAATTGTTATGGGGAGGAATTGTAATCTCAGAAAAAAGGCAAAAAAGGGAAGCATAAGTTTTAATCCAGTAAACTTGAAATTGTCTAATCTATTTAACTAGTTCCTCGCTCTCAAAACAGTTCCTAGTTAGGGTTAGTTTCCACATGCATGTCCACACATCGTTTAATCAGCTTCTTCAGACAGACAAGTGATAAAGAGAGACTGTCACTCAACCAATCAGCTATCAGCCTAACGCTGACTCACTATTAGCTCTTTCAAAAGTATGCAAAAATGCAATGTTTTCTTGTGAAATTAAGGTGGTATGGAGTGGTCTGATTTGTTAAAATGTTCGTCTAGAAAAAAACATAAGATTTTCAAACCAGTTTTTGTTTACTTATTACCAAAACGATGCTGAATGAAAGAAAGTGGAAGGAGGTTGATCAAGCGTGAAGAAGTGAATTTTAAAATGTCTAATCTAATCCCCAGTAATCTAAGCATCTGTAGCACTTAGAATAAGAGTGTGAAAACAGTTCTTCAATATTGCACAATTGTTATTGTATAAAAGACATTGACAAAGTTAATGTAACGGTGTTGTGTTGAAACAGCAGTTAGCGTGTGCGGCCCCTGGCATGTAACAGTCAAGGTCTTTTGGAAAAAAATGCTGCTGTCTGTTTGTCCTGTTTTTTCCGTTGTGTTTTCAAGAGAAATGAAAGATATCATTTTTCCACACCGGGTTGTCAGAGTGGTGTAACGTCTCGGAGGTTACACATCAATGGAATTCACCAAAAAAAAAAACATTTCACTATACAGCCCACTTGTGAGTACAATTAGAGGAACATTGGGCAAATACAAAAGAGATGCCAAAGAGTAAATTATTAAATTATTGTGCTTATATTTTATTTCTGTCACATATAGCATTGCAAATATAGTCTTAAAACAAAATTTGCCAATGGGAGAAGCCATGTAGTCTTATTTACAGAACTGTTGCTATATTTTTTTCTTGTTTCAAGGGAGACATTTCTTGTATCTTTTTAAAACAAGATCATTTTGCTTGTCTCATTGGCAAATCTTTTTTCAGGCAACTTTGACTTATTTTTCATCACTCTTTGCAGTGAGACTACTGTATTTCTTCCATTGCTTTCTTGTAATCTTGACCTGAAGGAAATGGCTTAATCTATTAATTTTTATGAGACGGGCAGATACAATAGCTCTAAAAAGACAACAGAATCTCTTTAGTTGATAGGAATGTAAACGTTGGAAACCTTGCAGCCTTGTTTTATGACATATCCGCTTTTTAAACATACAGAATATAAATGTGGGGCAGAAATATCGCAGGAAGTTATTTTGCCTAAATCCTGCAGTTCTAGCTTCTAGCATTTCAATACAAAATGTCAATGCATCCTTTCTACTTTCTACATGTGGACATATTGTTTTAACTATTAGTGTGATCTGTAGTTTGTACGTGCAGCAGGATTTAGTCGATGTCAAGAATTGTCAAGACTTTTTGTTAAAACCGTGACAGGTTTCCTCAGAGACCTTAAACATATGCACGCTGCCTGGATGGAGCTTGTTTAAGGCTGAAAGCTTTCCCCAGGAGCAGACACACACGCACTCACACATACATACACTCGCACACACACTGCCTCCCAAGGGTGCACACTATTCCCACATCTCCCCTGGACACATGTGAACGCTTTTCCCTTCACTCCGGTTAATTTGGCGTTGACTAAACTAGGTGTCAGGTCTTTGGTGCGAGGAATCTTCTGGGAGCATAAACTTGATCTATCTTTATTCACAAGCCATCTGATGGCAGCCGGAGTGTGGTAATTGCCACAAAAATAGTTGTGTTGTGTTGTAAAATGTAGGGCCATTTTCTATTTTTCAGGCTGAAACTAAAGTATTATTGTTGCTATTATTCTTCTAAATTGTAAAGGTGCCCAGGCTCTTTATGTTTTACTGTTTTCTTGAGTAGTAGTAGAATTAAAGTGATCAGTGTTGACACATTTCAAACTACTATAACTATTAAAACTATTTTGCATTATTATTACTCATTTGGAATATATTTTTGCTGAGGGTAAACAAATGTACTCTGTCTGTACTTCCCTATGCTACCACTAGAGGGATACGTTGAATGTGTCCATATTGGAAAATAACTGGCTACAAACACAGACATCCATCCATCCTCTTCCCATTAATCCATTTCTGGGTCGGAAACACGGGCATGTGATTGCAAATAATATAATTTCAGCTGATTCATTGTGAAAACTAATTTATGAGCAATTCTTTTGTTTTAAAGTGCGTTGTCACATTGGTACAATGATATTATACAACTACAGGATGGAAACAGGTTCTTCTAGATAGAGGGGGCGAAGTCAGCTTTTTTTTTAAACCGCAGACATCTTTAATGAAACCTTTAATTCCACCATAATATATTTTTGTATTGCCAGTTTTGATAACGATCTAGATCATGGGTGTGAAACTGGTCCACAAAGGGCCAGTGTGGCTGCAGGTTTTCATTCCAACCAGGCAAGGAGCACAGCATACTCCACCCAGTTTGTCAATTGAGTCCAGTCTGGACCTGGCGACCTGAGGATAAGGGTGGAGTGTGGTGTGTTCCTGCCTGGTTGGAATGAATAATCGTGGCCATACCGGCCCTTTCTGGAACCAGTTTGACACCCATGATCTAAATCATTACATTCATTATTATTTGTAGTTGCATTTACTAACTTACTTGATTTATAATTGGAAGACTCCATTTTGTTTTTAAAGGGGACATTAGTTTAAGTTGTAAGGGGACCAAAAGCCTTTGTAAGTTTGTAGTAGCATTAGCTGAGCCTAAGTTTTCTTTAAACCAGTAATATTTTCATCAGTAATGGAAGTTGGAGCCTGTTGGAATTGTCTTTCTATCAGAAGAATGTAATCAAACACTTCTTTCTTTAGCAGAAGAGGAATGCATTGATTATTGGGTCCATGTCAGAAGCAGCCTCACTTATCTCCATTATGCTAATGAGGATTCTATTACCATAATGACACGCTATTGAAAATAATGAAGGAAATAACACATGTGATTTGAATGAATGCGCATATCTCCGTTTCTCTTCCTCTGTGTGGAGCTCGTCAGACAAAAGGCCGACGCGGTTTTGTTCCCAGCTGCCAAAGCCCTGATTAAAGATGGTGTATTGATGTAAACAGCTTTTCATTTCTCATTTTTGGCCTCCTCCTCCTGTGTTTGGTGGGTCAGTCTCAGATTAATGCTTGCAGACACAGCGCTCATTAGGAAAACCACACTGTCACCACTTTTCGCTCCTTTACAGAAATTGTAGTTGATGGTTGCTTTTCCACCTGTTCAGAGCTGAGTTTTTATGTGGGTACAACAACAATGCATGGGGAGAGAGAACAACAACATCAAAAATTAACTATATGCCAGGTTCACAAAGACATATAGCAGGAGCCCATGTGTGTGCTGTTTATTCATCTTTGCTTTTACCCTTATTATGGTACTGTAACTATTGTGTGTGTAACTATTTCCTAACCCAGTTCTGTCACTAGTTTTCACATACATGTATTTTTGGCTACAGTTTTAAATATTTGATATGAAGACCGCATGCTGTGGTCGGATTTGTTTACAGCATTTTACTTTTACCGCACTCTGTTCCCTCACTGTTGGAACAAAGACTTTAGTCACACCATGTTACTTACTTACTTGCATTGTAGTCCAAGTGCCAGAATTCAAGAAATAGAGGTCTGCCAGATCCCGTCAGATCTCTGAAGCTATGTAGGGTAGGGCTTGGTTAATACTGTGATGGGAGACCTTTGGGAACACCAGGTGCCACAGTAGGGATGGTTGGTTGCAGTAGTTTTTTACCACTTTGTATGGAATGAATACAAAATGAAAGCACTATATAAAATCAACGCATGATTTTTATTATTCAATACAATGTACGCTGAAACATATCTTGCCAAACATTATGTTGAATAAAGCCGTGAAGTTAATCTCATAACGAAATTACAACTTTGTTCTCACACAGAACGCCTGACTGACAATAGTAATTTATTAGACATGCAAAAGCCCTATAAGCCCACTGAGCCGGCTGATCTGTGTGCATAAGATTTTCCAGTGTCCCGTTGTGCCGATGATGAAATACTGTTTGCATTGCGAGCTTAAGTAGCACCCTGCTAACGCTTCCGTCCTCTGTTCCAGGTGACTCCATCCTCAAAGATCGTGGGAGACCTGGCTCAGTTCATGGTGCAAAACGACCTGAGCAGGGCAGAGGTGGAGGAGAGGGCGGATGAGCTGTCCTTCCCTCTCTCTGTGGTGGAATTCCTGCAGGGATACATCGGAATACCGCATGGAGGATTCCCGGAGCCCTTCCGATCCAAGGTACAACACTGCACCTGCTACCAAGGCCTCTGGGAGAGAGAAAAGGATCTCCCTGTTTATAGATTAGCCTAGTTTTGACTGCAGATGCAATAAATTAGCTTTCAAACCAAAATAAATGAAGCTATTAAACTCATATAACCAGTTCCTAGCTCTCAAAACAGTTTGGTTATGTCACTGTTTTCTGTTTTTGGCCTCTGTCACATCTTTAGATCAGAATTTTCCGACAGAAAAGTGAAAAAGAGAGAACCATCTCCTCTCAGCTTTCAACCCAAAGCGCCATATTGTGGCTCACAGGTCTATTTCTTAGAAAATGTTTAAACAGTCTTTTAAAAAGACTGACAAAAACATGTATCGGCCCTAACTATGTGTTAAAGGTAGTTCTAAACTACAGTACCTGGACAAAACCATGCATGTCAGACAAGAAAAAGTTTATAATTACAGTGGTGAGGAATGACTGGAATTGAAGGAGAGCAGAACAGATGCTGCTTTACATCGTTCTCCCCCAGTCACTTCTAAACTCACTGCTCGCACAAAATGAGTTTTATTGAAAGATAAACACACCTCCAACACACATGGAAAAGCCCGAAACTAGGTGAAGTTACACATTAACCACTTGTCTGACAACTTCTTGCCACATAGTTGCACAAAACACCTCAATGTGGACAATGCGGATAATTATTAACTTTTAAGCACCTGAATTGGGTCAAACCCCAAGTTGTCTAGACCAGCCATTCCCAAACTCAGTAACACCGAGGCCCCCTTAAAAATCTGACGGGTCTGCGTGGCCCCCCAAAATAATAACCAAGAAGACAACATTAAGAATAGGCTCTTCTGGTTATTTTATTTTGGGGAAATAGCCTCTGCTACAAACATTGTAATACAAAAATGATTACAGTGGATTATTCAAGTCAAATAATGAACACAAATATTTTAATATTACAAACAAAACATAAATTTAACATTAAATAATTATATTTTATTTTTATTTTTTTTTATGACCTCCCGCGGCCCCCCTGCAGTACCCTCGCGGCCCACCAGGGGGCCGCGGACCCCACTTTGGGAGACACTGGTCTAGACTATATTATCTCTAGATTATATACACATTGACTTTAATGAAAACCCAAACAATTCCATTATCACTATGCAACTGATCCTCCTGCAGGTGGTGAAAGCACAGGAGCCTTGAACTTCCAGCTGGGGCTTCAGGCAAAGTGGGGTTAAGTGTCTTGCCCAAGGACACAATGGCAGCAGTCATTAGTGGGAGGTGTGAAGTAGCTATTGTGGTTGGGCTCGAACCCACGACCTTCAGGCTCAAATTGTATTGTATGTACTTTATTTGAACAGGGACAGTGTACAGTTAAGCATTAACACAAAAGGAGAGATGCATGTACCAGGTTATAGCAGAGATGCTAATTTACACCTGTAGTCCCTGGGCAGGCTGGTGTTATGTTCAGGCCAATGCTCGACCAAGTGAGCCACTGTCGCCCCCACCCCACTGTTCCTAAAAAGTGATCTGTAATATTTAGAAAATGAAATGTATTAAAAAAGAAAAAAAATAGTCAACAGCACCCTGCTTTCTCTCTGTTTCAATACAAACTTAACAGAAGGAATCAAAAAGACGAGCCAAACCTGGCTCAATTAAGGTAATGGGTTATTCATGTAAAAAAACAGAAATTCAAAACATGAGCTACAAACAAAACTTTCACAAACAAAATACTGTTTCTTTTAAGTTTTCCTCCTTCTCTTCTTTGAAACCTGTTCCCATGGACACGCATAAAACCATTATGAAATAACCTTGAAGTGCTAAAAGTGTTGTGACGGCCCCCTCTGCTGGGCCTGTGGTGGCAGTGTTCATATGACGTTCAGAGATGATGGGAGGCAGCTGGGAAGTCATGTGACCTCCCGGATGCTTAAAAAAGCGGCTTCCCCTCACTCTCTCTCTCTCACCTGGCTTCTGGGCACCTGCCGGCGTGCCCGGACTGCCGCTACCATTCTGGGCCCTGTTGGACCAGCCGCCACGCCAGTTTGTCTTTTCATTTACACGCGCTACAACACAATATATGCACTACAACGGTTGTCCTACTGACTTTCAGATACAACACCTTGCACCCCACAGCATACCATTCACTTACCCTGACCTCATACAGATTACTTTATTATTGTTTAAATAAATGCCCCACAGAGGGTTTAAACTTCTCAGTTTGTCGTGTCCTCCCTCTCATGTTATGGTCTCACGAGCCGGGCCGTAACAAATGGGGGCTTCGTCCTAAACATATTTGGAAAGTCATTCAGTGGTGTTTTGGAATCTCCCCTAGACGTGGTAGTGTGTGTGGATTCAGAGTTTGTACGCGCGCTGTGCGTGAGTGGATCCATTGACCTACTTTCTGTGAATCTGTGAATGGACGTGACGTCACCGCTGCTGAGGAGGCGAGTGTACGTGCAGTAAAGTTGTGGTGAGGACACGGCTTCGCGTGGAAGTTATTGGTTCATTCAAGACTACAGGTGAGTGAAGTGTTTTCTGTCTTGTGTCGCACGCAAATGGCTTCTGTCTACAGCTGGGTCTCCTGTTAGGCGAAGTGGTGTTGCCGCTTCAGGCTTCACCTGTTTTGTTTGTTTTAATAGTGTCGTGGGAACGCGGTTGGTGTTCAATGCGCGAGCATTGATCTCGGGGGCACTCCGTGGAACTGGTTGCTCCACTGGTTTCGTGCTTAATATTCCCGCTGCTGAACCACGTGAAGAGCTAGGCACAGTTAGGCAGGTGAGTTTTGGGATAGGTAGGCAAAGTATAGAGGGGATTCTGGTTGTGTGAGCCTGTTGCTGCGCACTAATTGTGACACTTCCACTCGCAGTGTAGTAGTCTGGTTTGTTTGTTTGTTTATGGCTAACGCGTGTGTGTAGTTTAGTATGAGTATGGAGTCTGTGGTAGAGGATTTTGTGGCTGATCCCACTGTGGGGAGGCTTGATGAGTGTAGTAAGTCTGATTTGTTGGCGATCGCGGCGCACTATGAAATTTCCGTGTCAAAGCAGGAGGTGAAGAAAGTGCTTAAAACGCAGGTTCAGTCAGCGTTGGTGGCGCAGGGCATTTTCTCTCCAGTGGTTGTGTCTGATGCGGAGATGCGGAGAATGGCGATGCAGCTGGAAATGCGAAAGTTAGAACTTCAAGAAAAAGAAATACAGGACAGAGAGCGGGAAAGAGAGCTTAGGTTTCGGGAAAGAGAGAGCCAACAGCAACATGAGTTTGAGCTGCGTAAATTGGAGCTGGAGGCGAGTTTCAGACAGGCGTCTACTCGTTTGTCTATCAGCCAGAGCAGTAGTTCCCAAGCAGAATTTGACGTGAACAAATGCATCAGATTAATTCCACCATTCACGGGGAAGGATGTGGATAAGTATTTTGTTTTGTTCGAGCGTGTGGCGAGTACTTTGAGCTGGCCCGAGAGTGTCTGGCCGCTGCTGCTGCAGTGTGTGTTCACGGGGAGGGCGCAAGAAGCGTATGCCTCGCTGTCACCGGAGGATAGTTTGCAGTATAGCAAGGTAAAAGTGGCAGTCGAAAGGGCGTATGAGCTGGTACCGGAGGCGTACAGGCAAAAGTTTCGCCGCTACAAAAAGTTAGACACTCAAACCTATGTAGACTTTGGGCGTGAGAAGATCTCATTGTTTGAGAGGTGGTGCGCTGCACAAAACGTTAGTACGGTGGACCAGTTAAAGGATTTGATTTTGATGGAAGAGTTCAGAAACTGTGTTCCGGAGAAAATTGCTGTTTATCTCAACGAACAGAGGGTTGGGAAAGTAACAGAGGCCGCAGTGTTAGCGGACGAGTATGTGCTGACCCATAGAGACTATGCGCAGACTGTGGGCTCGAGGAACGTTAAAGTATGGCGTGAGGAGGGCTCTGCTAGACCAGATGTGTCAAAGGTTAGTGCTAAAGGCTCGACCACAGGTGATTGGGACCGTGTTTGTCACTTCTGTCAGAAGCGTGGACACATTAAGGCGAATTGTTATGCGCTGAAGAATAAGTCTGGGGGGTCCCACTCTGGGGGGTCCCACTCTGATCCTAAGGGCGCGGGGTTAGCGGTACCGGTGCGTAATGGGTGTAAAGAGCGTAATGAGCATGAGGTGGAGCGTGTTGAGTCTGAAGCTTGTATCTCGTACCTTCCGTTCATCCGTGAGGGCTATGTGTCGTTGCTGGGCAGTGACAAGAAAGTGCGGGTAAAGATATTGAGAGATACGGGGGCTTTTGATTCTTTTATTCGTGCCGATGTTTTGCCATTGTCCAGTGAGTCTGAGACTGGGGCATGTGTGCCAGTTCGGGGCATGGGATTGAACATCCTGTTTGTTCCATTGCACAAAGTGTCTCTGGAATGTGAGCTCTTTTCTGGAGAAGTGGCGTTGGCTGTACGACCTGCATTGCCGATAGCGGGGGTTTCTGTCATTTTGGGTAACAGTTTGGCGGGGTCTCGGTTGTGGGACGCTGCTCCGTCACTTGTGCCCATGGAGGCGGATTCCGGGCCACTGGTTGTTCCCCACACCGATGGAGATAGTGCGGAGTTTCCGGAGGTGTTCACAGCGTGTGCCGTGACTCGGGCCATGGCGCGGGCGCAGTCTGGGGAAGAGGGAGGTGTGAAAAACATTATCTTTCCCTTGTCTGATTTTCCTGTGGCTTTGACTCATAGGGAGCTGGGGCTGGAGCAGCAGGCTGATGTCTACAGCATACCATCCTGAAAGCCAGGGGGCTTTAGAGCGGTTCCATCAGTCTCTAAAGTCTCTACTGCGTGCCTATTGTACAGAGCTGGGAGGAGACTGGGAGGAAGGATTGCCGTGGTTGATGTTGGGGGCCCGTGAGGTTACCCAGGAGAGCACTGGGTTTAGCCCTAATGAACTTGTGTTTGCGCATACAGTTAAAGGTCCCCTTGCAGCAGTGGCAGGCGATTTCAGGGAGCCTGAACCGCCAAAGAAACTTGTGGACTATGTGAATGGGTTTAGGAGGCGCTTGTATGCAGCGA